TTTGTAAGAAGTGAAACATAAAATTTAAGTGAAATCTATCTAGAAGTATTACACACATTATATACTACTGCAGACAAATATAGTAATTTTTTTATAAATAAGATATGTAGACTTAATAGTAGAAAACAAATATGTATTTTAAAATATTAACACTAATTATATGTAACCTATAAATAAATTACTATTCATTTTTGTTAAAGATAGCATGAAATCTCTACCACAAACACAAAAATGGCTTAATATTTATAATATAATATTAGTTTTAAATTTCATATATAAGTTATCTTACATATAAAAAAGCTTATAAATTGTTTCAAGCGGGTATTACGTCAAAAGAAGTCGCGGTAGTCTTAAAAGCAGACCAATTAGGAGCTAAAAGCACCGCCGGGCCTCGCGGACGCGGTTTCTCATCAATTTTGTACGATACACTCTGTTACTTGAAAGTTTAGTGCAAAGAAACTTGCTTCTAAGGATAGATGGATTCTTTTTACTTATTGGTTTATCCATTGTAACTTATATATCACAAAGACTACTTACTTACTTACTACGTACTGTAATATGTAGTACGATTTGATAGTTTGTTTTTTTGAAGTCTTTTAAACGTTATCTTTAAATAATAAATCTTATTTTTACGGTTATTTATTTCTAAGAGAAATTCTTCGATTTTTGTTGTTAATCGTATGAATATTTAACTTAAATTTTTCTTCAATTATTTCTTAGAAAAAGTAAATATATACTAAGTAAGAAAAAATCATTAACTACGAAATCTATATTGTAGTATACAAGATATTATCAGTTGCTTCGCTCGATTAATTTTTACTTTATTACTTAAGCTCTTAAATTATGCTTAGTATGAAACAATCGTATGTACGTAATTAACTCGGGAAAAATAGAGATTTATTACAAAATTGTTAAATGAGATTAGTACATTGATTTCATTTAGGATTTACATTACATTATTTTACGTATCAACTGTTTACTAATTCTGTTTTGTATTGCTTTATTTTTTCTTCTTAGAAAAAGTCAGGTAAGTTTAAAAGATTGAACATTATTTAAAAAAAATACTTTCTTCCTTTACATATACAGCTGGCAGTTAAAATCTTTCTTTGTTGTTTTTAATATAGTATTTATATCTAATACCATTTTGTGTTATTTTTATATATAGGTATATTTTGTATTTACACAGGACTACATACAGACGGACAAATACATATGTAGTATGTGTCCCCTAATATAAAACATCAAAGAGTAATACATATTTAATGAGAGAGTTTTTATCACTTATTATATTTTATACCTATTTGTAAAACTAACGTAACGTAACTAACGTACGTAAGTAACGTTGCATATATATTACATTTTAGTACTATTAAATTAACAAAAATATTTAACAACCTCTACAATCTATATGAGTAATGAAAATACGATAGTTATTAAAAAAGTCAGGTAAAAAATATGTCAAAAATAAAATACCTTTTTGTTTCTTCGTGCTCATATTTGATTGAATAATTAATATCTCATATTATTTGGCAAAAAATACCATATTTTATCAATAATTCACAACCCATTACCATTTTCAACAGAAATAATTCAAGAAACCAATTCGTTATGAAACAAAAACAATATAGAGTATACTGCATTTACATCGCGTTTTCCATTATAAAGAGTCGACTCCGAGCCACAAGCAAACCTTAAAAACTTCCCGGCATGAAAGTTTAAAAGTGATACAGGGAGGCAGGCGTTGCTAGGCGACGCCTCCTACAAGACTTACGCCACAAATCTGGGTTACAGTGACTTACGAATATTTATTGTTTCTTGCTTACATTTATTTTATATAATAATATGAAACGCCTTTAACGAATTCCCTACGAAAGAGTTATATTTATATATAATATAATTTAAAAGATTTTGTTAAGCATCAGTAATATAGGAAGATTTACAAGGAATCTTTAAAAAGATCCTTCATTTCTTTCCGTATAAAATTTACTTCGGAAGTATGAATAATAAGATTTTTAAACGCGCTTCACGAATGGAATAGTGTGATTTTTGTATGAAGGAAATGGAAACACATTCAAGATTCGCTCCGTGTATGTTTCAAACATAATTTATATCGCAACAGTTTAATGAAAAATAGAGTTTATGTTGATTTTTTTAAATCAATATTTTTATATTATTTTCTTCTCAAATCATTACCTTAAATAACCGAAAGATTAAAATAGGTTGGTTAAGTTGAATCGTTTTAATAAGTAGATTTTTTAGTGTAATAATAATAATTAACAATAATGTGTAATTAAATAATGCATCGAAATACATATATAGGAACTTAACTAAGCATCAAAATAAATATCAAATACTATAGTTTGCTACATGAACTGCGACTTGATTCAAAGCACATTGACTTAAAATATAGAGAAAATTCTAATTCAAGAGACAGAAACCTGAAATGTAGAATTACTGAACTAAAATTCACTATAAAATCCGACTGTACGTTAATTTTCTACAATTTACATCACACATAACAAAAGGAATTCTAAGCGGTGGAGTCAATTAGCATGCAAATGTAAGAAAACGACGATTAAGAAGCCTTCGCACACCACGCAGACCCCGATGTATTGATCATGCGATTCTCACACGCTTACATACTACCGTCTCTTTTTAACTTACCCACAACAGATCGCTATAAACATAAATACAGTGATGCCAGAACGACGTTACTATTGTTAAAATATAAGCGAATTTATATCATGTGTCAATATTTATAAAGATGATATTCGAATGAAGGTATTTAGCGCTTGGCTTGTTGTTCGTTTTGCGAGGAAAACCCTTGTTGTGCCAGTAAATTCTGTTCCTATCTTTAAAGGAATAAAGATCTATTTCAGCGACGAGTTAAGAGAAAATGAGACGTTTATCAAAATTTCAGAGATTGTTATCGATGTTAAAATAATGAGGATTTTTAGTTACTCTCAGAGAAAATAGTCTATTTGGATAGTAATATATTTATTTCGGGAGTGCAATTTTAATTTTACTTTTACAGCTAGTGATGTAAACGTTTTTCTATCAAAATGTTTTTATAGATAAAAATCGAATTCATATATTCCATTGAAATATTAATTTTTCTACCACATCTAATGAGTTTGAAATAAAACTTTATTTACTCATATAGTTTACAGTTCAATATATTTATTTTTAATTTTTTACTCTGAGGCAAGTTTACTGAGAAGATAATATAAAAATATCTAGGCAAATATAAAAATATTTAGACACACTCTCTAAAAAAAATAGGACTAGGGAAATTGGTTTTCGGTCGTACCAATATACATATTCTATAGGAACATATTTTATAAGAAAGTATCCTTAGGGATCAGTATTTAAACAAAATAACTTAGTTTTAGTTATTACCATTTTATACACAGCCAAAAATCTGTTTTCTATATCCTTTTATTAGATATTAAAAAACTCTATATTTTTTTGTCTTATATTGCCAGCTTCGTTTTATTTTATTTATTCATTTTTTTATAAATTTTTTCAATGAAAAGTATACAAATTGTTTGCTTCTATATTTAAAACAATATTCTTATACTTATTACACAATAATACTTTTCATTAAAACATTACAATTAATTACTTAATTGTTAATAGTTGTTGCGTAATTTATTACAAATTTTTCATCTATTTCATATTAAAAATGTTAGTATTTTTAAGTCTTCTCAATATTTTTGTACAGTTATAATATTTTCAAGATAAAATACATTGATATTTGTAGATATGACGGCGTATTACTCACGAGATGAACATACAAAATCAAATTATCCATCGTCATACGAATTCAATAATTCGCCATCACAAGCTTCAGCACGAACATAATTCAAAGATATATTTATTAAGAAAAAAAGCTAAACAGAATGAGAATTCCTAATAATAAGGAAATATGTATTATAAGTAGGTTTTAAGCAAATTTAAATATATTCAAATATAAATACAGTATAAATGTATTTGAATAGAATAAATTATTTATAACAATGTTGTTTCATTATTTGATCATGGGACAAATCATTTATATGCGATTATATTCACTAATGACTACTCTTCTAAATAATTTTAGTTTCGAAATGAGATAATGAATTATAGAGTAAAATATGGGCATTTTGAAAATAAAATAAATATAAAGATTTTTTAGGATTCATTAGGAAATATTGAGGACTTTACTTTTAAACGGATCAATATTACTAAAATTATTTTAATGATCATATTTAGTCTCTCTAGTGATTTTAAAACTTTTGAATAGGCTTATTAACATTTTGTTACAAAATGTTTTTCTAACATGAATATCTACGGATCTTCTACGGATTAAAGAATACATGGTTATAAATAAGGAAGTTTTTATGCCTTTAATTCATTTACTAGGTCAGCCAATAATAGACCTTATCTGGGTATCAAGGCAACACAAATAGAGACAGTTATCACTAATTTTTATTCTTTAAAATTATACTAACAATAGCTATTTCAAAAAACATTCTAAATTATCCCTGTTTAGTATTATGACTAGGTTTATGAATTATTTATTATTCAGAGGATTGTTTGCTATCATATTATTTTAAATTTTGATTTATTTATATTTTTATTAATTAAAAATCATCCTAAATCTTATATCCTGTCCTAATAATTAAAACTACATGATCTTAATTTTTAACCGCTGACGACATGTAACCTAATTTCCACAAACGTAACTCCATCTAGTAGGAGAATATGGCAACATCCTGAAAGATGTAAAATACAGTAGACATGCGCGTAAAAGGAATTTCCTACAATCAATTTTCTACCTTCTTGTTATTAAAATAAAGATTATTTTTGTTCTTATTGTCTGCGCGTGCGCTCTAACATTGATTGATTTCCCGTGACATCTGACAGAAGCTGTTTTAATGAGTGCCAATGTGAGCAAAATAAAGCCTGACTATAACAATAATAAAAACATTTGTATAGAACCGAGTTGTATAAGAGAAATGAAAGTTGAAGGTATGTTTAAATTTTTACTATTTTGTCAAACTTGTTTTTATTTTTTTGTTACTTTTGTTACAGACTGTGTTAGTTTTTGACATTATTTGTAGAAGTGTAACCGAAATCTGTAGATGAATAAAGGAATTACTAACACGTATATTGTATTCTGTTGTATTGTAATATAGGATTAGGGTGCTATCTCGTGTTAATATGGAAGGTTGATGCCCGACTGTAGGGTTTGTCCTGCATATGAGACACACTGCTCGAAATTTATTAAAGCAAAAATTTGCACACATTAAAAAGTTGTATTTATTTTATAAAATATTTAGGTACTATTTAAAGCTTTATAAAAATATTAAATAATAATTGTATATACTTTGTACGTAATTAAAATTATTCTGTTAGGGACACACATTAAAATAAAACGAATTTTTAATTTATTACAATGAATCAAATTATCACCGTTGTATCTTTTCACTGAAGATATCCAAATAATTATTTGCTATAAAATTATTTCGTTATTTTTTTCTTCTTTCTTTTTATTCCGTATCTATTACAATCTCTCCGTTTCTTACCTAAAATTCATAACTTATCATATTATTATCTCCTAAAGCGTGTTCCAACCACATTCTAAAATCTAAACCTATAAATTTCCTTAACAACCGTCTACACTTTCATGATTTTTAATACAATTTGTTCGTCACACTAGTCGACCGTGTGTGTCATACGCTTTTGACGGACACTATGACATAAGGCTCGCGCACTTGTCACTACGAACGCATAATTTGTCCTCAATTACAAGACCATTTTATACACTGTACTCTATAATAAAGTGGGGTCCGATTAAAGACTTCTCGTCTTTCGACAACTGTTCATAGTTGATAGAGGGGACAAATAAATTATTCATTCCAACTATTGAAAGTGCGTTATAATAGATTTTTATAAGAGTATACATCTGAATGCACCTGTTTTTGTTGTTTGATATGAATTATGTAATATGTTTTTCTATTATTCAGTTTATAACATTGAACATCAAGTGTTAAAGTAGCTTAAAAGGCGTATTTTAAAATGTTTAAACTTAGGTATACAAACTTGCAAGATAATAATTGCTATGTAAATTTTTACAAGACTATAGCGAAACCAAGAAGTGGGGTGATGTTTTGTAAATTGAATGTATGTGTGTAAATGAGCATTTTTAAAGTTTTCATTTTAAGTTAAAACATAATTTAAGTACATTTGACAAATTCTATCCCGTTTGACATTTGACTCCTATTCTGTGTATTGGATTTTTTTGTTATCTTCTATATATATAAAAAATGGATTGCTGTTCCTTAGTCTCGCTAAAACTTGAGAACGGCTGAACCGATTTGGCTAATTTTCGTCTTGAAATACTCCTGGTAGTCCAGGGAAGGTTTAAAAGGTGAGAAAATTTGGAATAATTGCCGGGAAAACCCTAAAACAGCTCTTTTCTATTTCCGATACAAACGGTTTTTTTTGACATTAGATTTCACAACTAACTAATATGTCAATCATTCTGTTTCATTGAAACAGGAAAAACCTGATTATTTATGGCCTGTAAGACGGAATAGAGTTCGCCTGGTCAGCTATACCTACATATATTACTCTTGACCAAACTAACGCGGACGAAGTCGCGGGCAAAAACTAGTTTAGGTATAAAATAAGAATATTTTAAAAATTTACTACGGAATTAACGGTAATGCTGAAAAAGCACTTACTATAAGTATGTGTCGTAAAATAAAATAAGACTGTTTCTATGTTTTCATTCATAAATCCTCGCACGTGATAGCATATTTGTAGATATGTATATGAAAAAAGTGAATTTATTCGTGTTTAGTGTAATGATGCCAACTAGTGGTAAGAGTGAGTATTAAACAGTAAGAGGTTACATGAATTGAAACAAATGATACCTTCTAATACTGGTTACATTTCAATCTTTTTAATCGGTTTATTATACGGTCGGGTTCTTTTTTTATTTTTCATACCAATCAAAAAGTAGAAATCCTCTTAAATATTACGTAATTTTTCTAGCATTTATATTCAATTTCATGCCTTTATTATAGTAAAGATTTAAAAATGAAATAAAATATATTACTATTAACGTCAACGTACATTTTTTAACAACAAACCTAATAGCTGGGGTACTTGTGAAATGAGGTGTGAATATTGCATCTCTACGGGATTCCACCCCATACTGGCCCCATGGGGGTGGGCATCTGGCCATCCCCTACCCCATACAATGTACATTTACAGGTATTCAATGAGCTCTGTGTTTTTTTTTTTGATATTGGCGATTGAAGTTTAAATTTGTCAATAATTGCATTATATGTAAAACTATACAAAGTTCTATTTGTAGCGGTTTTTGTTTTCCAGTATTTATATATGTTTTAGTTCATTATATTTTCGATAAGTTCTTTACATTCTTAATGGTATTTTTGTTCTACATAGCTAGAAACTCTCTTAGCTTTCACGGCACATACGTGGTACCTATATCATAAATTTGAATATAGGTTTTTTTCTCAGCGTTCCTCATATTCTTCCTGCCTTGCCTGTCCGGCTTACGTCGAGGTCCACATCATCCTCACGGACAGATGCCCCTTGAGAGTCATAGCCACTACAAACCAAAACATTCAGACTCCTTAACAAAGGACACGCAATTACTCCATGATGCCAAGTAAGATAAGTGGAATATAATTTGTTAATATATTGCTAAAATGTTAAATAAGATTTGTGTTTTAATCTTTAATTCATTTAATCGCACTAAAAATGAAAATTGTAGCTATCATTGTTTTTTTTTGTATGAGGTTAATAAAGTAAATATGAGTGCTCCTATCACTTTGAAACTACGAATTAAATAACTAAGATTGTAAATTATTAACATTTGTAGACATTCTTTTGTTCAAAGCTAAAAGTGCTAATGAATAATTTAATTTATTTTTTAAGACATTTAGAGGAAGACGTGAAAGTATTAACTGCCGAAGCCATAGCTAAGATGACACCAGAGGAATTGGAATTCCATTATTTCTCAGCACACGATTACGATAGGAATTCTTTGTTGGATGGGTTAGAAATGCTTAAGGTGATTGTAGAAAATGTTTATATGTATCTATTGTGATTTTTATATTCCGATATTAATAGTTAATGTTTTCTTTCAGGCTGTCTATCATACAATAGAACACGCTGCTCCCGATCCTGAAGAAGATGAAGACATCGAACCTGAATCTGATAATCTAGAATTATATATTGGTAAGTATAATTATAACACTTATTTTGGAATGGTTTCAGCAGTGCTAATGCCCAACGATCAATGTAAGATCAAACTTTCAGTGAGCTAACAATTCTGGAAGCCTGAAGCCTTTTTGGTATTATTTCTTACCCAACTTAATTGTTTTTTAATTTATTATCTTCTTTTAACAACCCATGGTCAATATTTTGGGAAAATTACAGCTTTAAAGACACTTATAGTCCGTTAGACTTAAGCTGAGCTTTGCATTTGTGTGAGTGAAAGTAAAAGTATAGTTAGACAAAAAACTTTTAGAATTAAATTTTATTATATTTTAAATAGATACATAACATAGGTGCTATAAAATAAACAAAATTTGTAAAAGGACAGATGGAAATATTATAAATATTATAGAAAAAAAAAATAGATTAATAATTTTTTTAAAAAACTATACAAATTCTTATTCACAAGACATTGCGTTTTCATTATTTCATTTTGCTACCGGTACAAAAAGTGAAGTGAGGAAAGTGCGGGGCGGAGTAAAAGCAGAATAAACCGGATGAAAACTAGAAAAGAACGTGGTATTCAAAAATTTGACATCACACCTACACTATCCGTGTGTACTCACACAAATGCAAATTTCAGCTTAAATCAAACGCACTATACTGTCATATGAACCGATAGTTCAAATGTCAATTTAAAGTACAAAAAAAGTGTAATTAAAATTGTCACGACCATTAAGTTTGATAGCATCTCTTATACCAAAAGAAAGTTCTACAAAATCTTGATAAAGCTACTAATTATTTGTGTTTTTATGCTCATCACTTACTAAGGAATTATAACTCAAGATAAGTTTATAGAAGAAGCTGACTATTAATATAAAATGAAATGAACTTTATTTAAAATTACAGCACTAGTGGATAAAACTCTAAAATCTGATGACACAAACAACGATGGATACGTATCTTACGCGGAGTATAGAGCAGCGAGAGGAAATACTACGGAAGATCGGTCACCAAGAGTGTTAGCGGGAAATGCTGGTTAGAATAGGTAATATTATTTATTATCCAATATAAATATAAAATGAATTATAAATTATTGACTTAATTCATTTATTTCATAGAAATACATTTTAATTCCATTCACTAATAAATTCTTTAAAATTATTTACATAGAATTTGTCTTATACTTCAAAAAGTTTGCTTAAAATAAAGCCTTGACAAAAGACTCAAATAAAGTCATATATATTTTTGTTTTAATAAGTAATTAAATATTAAAACTAATTCTCTTTCCGTCCAACAGGATTTATTTACAGTGATATCTCTTCTGGCACGGTAAACCCCGCTCTCCCCACGAAACTGCATCTCTGATTCCATTCGATATATTTTCGTACGGCTCTAAACTTACATTGCTGTAAAAGATGTACATAATTAATATTACAGTGTTATTCCTAATACTATGGACAATAAACATTCTTCACTATACAGTATTGTTTATAATACCCTTGAAATAATTTAGTTCCTTGCAGTATGAGCTCAGCGCTGGAAGAATATAAGGCTGCTTGACGAGGTTTTTGGCAGGAGAGTCGGTATAAACAGCCGTAGTCATTATTTTGCTGCCCAACGAGATAGCTTAGGTATAGAAGAATCTCGTCTTCTGTTATGTATGAAGCGTTCTTGTTGTCTGTGGTTGATAAACATAATATAAATGAAAATACGCCTTTGTATTTACGTATTCAAAAATATAGTTGTTTGTGTGTGTAAAAATACATAAAGTTTGCAATTCTACTTCAATATTGCATCGTTAATATAAGCACAGGCAGATTCTATTTCATAAATCTTCGTATATAGTAGTAAGAACGTATTGTTATGATTTAAAGACTGAAAACTGTTTTTATTTTGTTCGATATAACAAACTTTTGTTACAGTGACAGTACATATACGATGTAATTTACTTATACGCAGTATAGACGAGACTTGATGCCATTACCAATGAGTATTCAAAATGTACATCGGGATTGTATTTATTATATCTTTGTGCTTTTATTCACCTAAACACGTCGGTCGCGTTGGTCATTTTGATGGAGTAATACACATGGACAGATAATCCTCTTGGAATAGGATTAAAATTAGGACGAACACGACAAACGCATCACGTAGCGTAGGATTAGCGAGGTGGGCAATGGTCATTGGAATCGGTTATTTAAAAGAGCGAATATGCTATTATGACCTTTATTATAAGGAGGTAAAGACTCAAATAGAATGTATTCTATAATTTTAAGTTCAAAGGTGCTTTTGCAGATGTTTATCTCTTTACTGGTCTCCCGTTAGCGGCTACTTCCCGAGCTTTGTGTTGTAATTGACTTAATGAATTGCCAGTTTAAATATATAATAATAATATCGATTCATTTTCTTGATTATAGAAATTGTCATTTTGCCAAATATAAAAGTTCATAAGAGGTCACAATATCTCCTACGTTTTAAATTAAAATAGGCTTACAAGTTTATGTTACGTGATTTTTTGTTATTTTAACGTCATTATCAGCTGTTTGGCGCCCTCACCTGAGCGAAGAACTTTTCTCACATGGAGAAGGTTAGGGGAATATCCACCACACTTGCTCAAAACGAATTGGCGTTTAAAAACTTATGATTTGAAATTATATGTCAAGGTATCCTCACGATATTTTCCTTTACCGTCTGTCAGTGGTGGCTAAATTCTCTAAGAAAGTACATATAACTCGGAAAAAATCACATTCGTATTTGGCAGGTTTCGAAAACCTTGCCCTCATACAACGAGGGACGGGGTCTTAACTTCTACGTCAACACACCTAATTTTACTTACATATGTTCTAATTTTGTTCACTCTACAAATAAAATAACATTTTTCTGTAAAGATATTTGACGACTTAATATCTTGTCTCAAAGCTAAACAGGAAAATACTTAAAAAAATAATAATAATTTGTGACAAGGGACGGTACCAAGATCTGATGATTTTTAGGTGTTCGACTATTTATTTACAAATGGAAGTATCGTCACTAACTCATGAAAGGTACGTTGTATTAATAATTTTAGCAAGGAATTGTTTCGATTACTCATTCATTAAATATATCTCTAGAAAGAAAAATAAAAACTATAAAATATTCCAATTAAGTATTCTAGAAGAATGGTTACTACTTATTTCAATAAATATATCTTTATAAATTTTAAGAAGTGAGTTGCAGCTTAAAAAAAAATAGAAATCTCCCAACATGAATCTAGAATTAGTTATTAATTCAAAACTAATATGTAGATATTTTAAATATTTTCTTTCAATAATATTATTGTTTACCGTCTAAACTTCTGCCATAGTGATGTCCCTTCCACGCGCCAGCTCCGAAAAAGCCGGCAGCCAATATAAGAGCCTTCAGCACGATCAGAATCACCAGGTTCGTCAGATTAAGACTGAGTACCTAACAAAATTTATATTGAAATTAACAAAAAAGTAACATATAACAAAAATTAAGCTCGAGTATAGAAAGATATTAGTATTAAAATTTATCAGCATAACTTATCTATGTGTAGCACAAGCCTTACAAATTTCATGAGTCACCGAATGCTTAGATTATTTAAAGCCCTCAGGAATGCGTGCGTTTAATAGATTACAGTGCGATACCAACCTGTGCCATACAGTCAAAACCAACCTGGCTACTCCCTGCGGACCTGGCTATGAAGTCCTTAGCCAGACTTGAAACAACTTGAGCTCCGGTCCCACTCAGAAAACTACCCGCTGTATCTAGAATCGAGGATCTAGCGTAGGTGGTTGTATTGACACTGTCATATCTTTCACTGGCGCTTTCTTTGAAATTCGGAAAATTTTCTTTCGGTAAAAACGCGCTCGGATCATAATTCTTTGGATACATCTTCTTCGCGTATTGCGGTGACGAATAAGCTCCTGTATGTTCGGCGCTAATGAACGGTAATAATAATATTAAATAGACGACAACCATTTTCGTTCGCAGACGCTAGACGAATGATGGAAGCAGGTAGCGTTGTAAGGATTTGCGTCTACAAACTAAACTTCGCTATTTTATCTCTTCGAGCTCTCTTTTGTTTGTTGCACGCACGATGACATCCCTTAATGAAGGTATTGTTGTTGCTTTCTAGTGGCATTATCTTTTTTAGGTGTTTCTGAGTTATACTTCTGTACTTTTATGTATTTGGCTGATTTTCACACAAAATATAATGATATCATTATCATTATGAGAGAGTAAAACGAAAGTATTGGTTTTAACTACAGGTAAAATGATTATAGTTAATGACGAATATTATTTTTAAATAAAAAGAATTCGTGTAAAAGAAAAAGCAGCGACGGTCACAATTACAGGAAGGCGACAAAGATAAACCTGGCGGAACCGAATTGCTCATCGTCGTGTCGATGTAAGTTCCGTAATACTTACGGGTGCAAAAATTATTTCGGCCACAATTACATATGTGATATAATATTTATAATTCTAAATTGCTTAACCTCAAATCAAAACAATACGATCTATCTTTATTAAATTAACTTAAAGATACGTATGTTTGAGGACTTTTCTTTGTATATTATTAAGGGAAAGTAAAGGAGATATAGTAGCTCATATAACAAACAAAGTACTAAGGCAGTTTCACTTTCTAGGATTGAATTTATTCATTGTTTGTTTAAATTGACATAAACAATCAATTTTATTGAAGTATCAGAAGCTATTCCCAGTATTTGAAAGTCGAACAATGAAATTGATGCAATTGAATTCGTACTGAAAGGCTGTGTATGAAAATAGAATTTAAAATTAAATAGCTTGATAAGGTGTTTTTATGTTACGGTTCGTATTCAGCAATGTATGTATTGTTTGTTAAAACGAAAAAGTGTTTAAAGACAATAAGCGTTTAATCTCGCTCTAACTAACATCTAGAACGAGTTATGTCATACGCATTGAATTATTAAACTCAAATAACTCTGAGATGTTGTTACAATTATTTAACAGAATCCGAAGTCCTGTTAAATGTTACATAACTTTTAAATACATTTTTAAACAATTAATACTAATCAGATAAGGTGTATTACTTGGTTTATTGTACATAGCGATATTTTAAAATGTTTTTCAACACAAGGATAAGGATGAAGTTGGATTATATATTTATTAAAGTCTTAATATACTTATCTAAAATTATAGACGATCTTATATTTTAATTTATAAGTGAATACCTTCTCAAAACCGCCATCTAGCGGCAAAGACTAAAACTAAAATGCCGTGGTAAGAGACATTTATACAGCTCCTGCATTCGGTGCTTTGTTTTACAAAGACAAACTAGGTGTCACTATTCCAAAGCAGCAACTTACGTATTCGTGGGCATTCGAATGCATCAAAACCAAAATGGGAGAATCGTGTTTTAAATGTTTATGTAAATAGATGAAAATATTTTATATTATACAAACAAAATATAACATGGTAAAAGACTTCTTTGTTGGTACATTACAGATTTCTTGTGTATCAGACGTCAGCAATAGAAAAAAAAAACAGTGAAAATTAGAGTTCAAAGCCCCGTACTTTTTAGTTTTGATCAAAAATGTTATGCGTCTCAAGATCATAAGAAATTATAATTTAGTGCAAACATAATTATTTCAGTAAGAAATTAATTTAAATTTTTATCAAAAGAATCTTTAAAACATACTTATATAAGTTTCAGAGAATGTTGTTGTGTTGTTACTGTGTTTCTAGATTGTAATTGTTGAAACTTCTTTAATCTCAAACGAATGGACCGATTTTAATACAATTTGGCAAGCAGATAAATGAGTTTTGGTTTAACTTGTGTTATTACTTATCCCAAAAATATTTGTACAAAAAGGGAGAAAATATATACATTAATAATATATTTGCAATTGTTTCAAACTAAATACGTTGTGCGAATATAAATTATTGTAAGAAGTTTAAAACAAAAAATCACATATTCACTACATTTATCTATTACTGTTTTGCTAAAGAAACTGCTTTATGTTAAAAATAAATAAATAGAATATCTGTTATAAATATCAAGTATGATAATTGAATTTGTATGATATACGAAAGATAATAATTTAAGCTTTGAGATGCATCTTAGACAGATGTTCTATTTATAGTTTAATACTAACTTTTCTTTTTATGTTTTTTCTAAAACCGTCTTAATTTTAGACCATTAAAAACGTTGACAACATTTTTTTAATTATTAACTATGATTACAATGTGTCAAAGCGTGATCAGTATTACATTTCTGTCGAATACTTTTTATTTTGTATAATATAGTGTATTTATAATCAACATGTAAATTACAATGATGATATTTTTTATGATAAGTTTATCAGTGAGTCTAAATCATTTTTTTTGTTATATTATTATTTACGGTTCTGGTACATTAAAACATAACTATTTTCGTGTTCCGTCACATTTACCTCACTGAATTGCGTCACGTCCATGCTTTATGGTAAACGTCGAAAGCGTAATTGCCGCCATATTTTATAATAGCAACAAAGAACTTTCTTCCTAAATGTTTTTATACGGAACTTTGTCTATGGAGTGGATTCGTATATATATTTTTTTAATTAGAATTTGACTTTATAAATATTAAACTTTTCATTTATTATACATTTTATTGTATATGTTATTAAGAAATCTTTCTAAAATCTATTCAATAAAAAAATATACATTAATATTTAAAGTAATAGACAACGTAAATAATATTCATATATGAAAATAATTATATAGATATATTTAAAAAATATTTTCTATAACATCGACTCCACGCATCTTTCATGACGGTCAAGGCCTGGTTTCACTTTCTTAAACCAAAACATTTTCACCGCTCTCGCGGCTGAGCTGCGTCGCATGTTCGTTGCAAGAGATTATTGCTATTGAGATAGGTACTTAAATTACAATCACTGGAATAACATCCCAAATTAAATTGAACGGTATTATTATGATGTTATAGTATAGTATAGAATGATTACCTGGCTATGGTATTTGTATATGAAAATAAAATATGAGATTAGGATATTTTCCATAACGTAAACATTGTACAATGTTTTTGTATCTATTTCGGTAACAGAGTTGTTTAATTGGATAAGTTTAATACATATGTATGAATTTTATTTGCTTTCATATAAACATAAACTTCTGTTATGGAGATGATTTTAACCATATATTATCCTTTTAATAGATTTATGTCCATATTTTAAATAACACGACATTCTGATTATAAAAAAAAAATATTTATAGCAAAGTATAGTGTTTTTATTGGTGTTGCAGAACTTTTCACACAAGAATACATTTTCACTTAAATGCAGCGATAATTTTTTCAACATGTAACAATAACAAAATTTAAAATTATAAGATTCGTGAATTTATTGAATAAAAAATAAAATAAAAAGTATAATAGTGAAATTAAATTTTAATGTCATTGATTCCGATTTAGTGAGTTTTAGAAAGCATAAAGGAATCGTCGGGCGTTAAATAAGAGTATGAATGGAATGGGCTAGAACCGTGACAGACCGCTTAGGGACAATTTAAACTCAATTGTACCTTTGGTTTGCGAATGCCTGAGTGTCTGGTACTGGCTAGGATTCAAAATGAGACGAATTCAATGATTTTCTTATATACGTAGTTAAAAAGCTGAAATTAATCTTATTGAACTGTCAATGACGCGTATTATTTTGATACAAAGAGTATTGCAATTCAGTATTGCAATCTTTAGCATTAATTTGTCATTGAAACTAATATTACCATTGCTTTTTACTTTGTACATATATACGTAGTTAATTTTATTCATTTGAAAATACCTACTTTATATAAATCTAGTTCTTAAGACCACGTTTTTAGGATATGAAACAATAAAATATTATAAAGCTGAAGAGTTTGTTTGAAAGCGCTAATCTCCGAAACTACTAGTTCAAACTGAATAATTCTTTTTGTGTTGGATAGTCCAGTTATCGAGGAAAGCTGTGGGCTATATAACATCACGCTACGACCAATAGGAGCAAAGATATAGTGGTAAATGTGTAAAAAACGGGAGAAATTATTTCATCTTTGAAGCCTTCCGTTGCGTGCGCCGTGAAAACGGTTCAAGATACACAAAAAATATGTAGTAAAGAATAATAGCTCTTTTAATGATCTAAAAAAACAGTCCGCGACAGTATATATCTATCTTTTAAGATTAACTTACAAAAACCGTTTTTATGGTACCTAATTTGGTCGAAATAATTTGTTTAAGTTGTATCAACATAATAATATTAATCTTTATTCACATAAACAAATAAATAAGTTGTTGGTTAAGAGTACTTCATTGTGAATAAAAAAAAACAGGTTTTATCCTGAAAATTCTACGGGAACTCGACCATTCGGAAAACCCCGCAAGAACGGAAACTATGTGGGAAGAACCAAAAATCTGCCGGAAGTCACTATTCCACGCGGACGGAGACGCGGCAAAAGCTAGTAAAACAATAAAGTAGCGGCATTCTAACATGTTTTATCAAAAGAAAGCATATCAAATTGTTTTATATCGGTCTAGAATGTATATGACACGATTGTTACTGACATACATAAAGTTTATTTATTATTACTATATAAAATCTTATATATATACAGGGTGACTGGTGACTACTATCAATATTTAAGGAGAATACTCGGTACATGATTCTCATTCGAATTATGTAAAAAAAATAGGCACTTAATTTTTGACCAAATTTCCGTATAAATAAATAAAGCGTGGACACGTTCCAAGTGTTCCAAGCGTGGACGCGTGTGGCGGCGTGCTGATACAACACTACGCCGCCACACGTGTGTGTGTGCGTGTGTGTATACCTAATCTGTAGGGTGTTCACACGATGCGTAATTAATTACATCATTTTTGGTTAACTTTACTTAGAAGTTTATTAATATTTATGTTATATTAATTTTTATTTTGTCATATATGATCATCAAATATCACGTCCTCAAGTATCGATAGTAATTCACCAGTCACCCTATATATTGTAGATTCTACTCGATATTGGAGGAATATATTGCGCATATTAACAAAGATAGATGCCATAAATTAAGAAAATAATTTAATGAATTTGTAGGAAATACTTAAGGAATATATATAAAATTAATGTTTGTAGAGTAAAAAAGAATAATACTTTTTTATTAAACTGCCTATGTATTGGTAGGTGTATAATGTTTCCACCCATACCTACCTTTAAAGGTGACTTCAACCCTTTATGTTTTCATAACAATAAGATTTTAGAGAAACAGACAAAGTTATGTATACATATATAGTTTTATATACAGTTACAGTATATATATTTTTAACGTAATATTCAAATAAACTACATTAAAATAAAATGTCAGTCATAAAATTACTTAATAATATATTTTATGAAAGTTACATATCCCCATTGGATGTATCGTGAAAGTATTTCTCTATTATACAGTAAATGTCTGTTGCGTAACCCGTCATGAACATTAAAAGCGTTCGGATAAAAAAGTATAGTTACAAATAGATTTGCATGCATCCACGTCATTTGGAAAGTAAGAGCACACGAATCAGCTATCATAGATCATTTAACTGTATTAAGTGAACGTGTTTCTAATTATAGAACTCAAGATGTTTAATATTTTGGTGAAAATACTTGGTGGTAGGTGATTTTCAATAAATGCACTTTTGGAAGCCACGGAATTTAATAATTTTCTTTAACATTTTGACGTTCTATTGACGATCTGTAAATAGAAACTTAATAAAAACTATAATTAGAAAATAATACATCTTAAAAACACATTTTTTTTGTTATTGTATTGACAAATATTAAATTTTCAGCTTGTTAAGATCTATAAATGAGTATGTGAAGTTTTGTTTGTATGTTGGAATTTTAGCTGAAAGCGTAGGTCAATATCTATTGAGTATTTTAATAGTATTTCAATTATCAAATTCACAATGTCCAAGTGGAGACAAAGGGATTTACTGAGACAGGATCGAAAACGCTGAATTTATGATAGGAATTTTGTTTGTTATAATAATATTATTCACTTATGAATCATATCTGAAAAAATATGCTCATTTCATAGTATTTTTATTCGCAAATCTAAATATAATTATAATCATCTGAGAAAGCCCGATGAGAAATTAAATATCACAGCAGACACTCACCGGACATTAAAATTGCATAACTGCACAGATTATTTTTGCATCAGACGTATTTTTTTGTTGTTTTTGAACAAATTGCCAGAGGCGAGATCGTTGGTAAAAGCACACAATTAGAGCGAAGTTGATCGAGTGATAGCGATAAGTGGTTTATTGTGGAGAGAGCTGCGGAAAATGTCATGAGAATGAAATTTTAAAATATATGATTAGAAAACAATGTCGCATCAGACTATGATGAATTGTTAATAAATCGTTCTTGTAATGTGGTTAGTAGAACAATATCTTGGATTTTAGATCATTGTTGAATCTGAAATTAGTCCACTATAGTTAAAAGCTACCATATTTTTTAATTTAAGTTATATATTTTATATCAAAAGAACATATACTTACGTTAATATTATTTAGGAGTCAACAAACAATAAATTTTTTTTTTGGAAATAACATACTTAATATATTCGACTGGTACAAATTTTTGCATTTTTGAGATAAAACATATTAATGATTTTGGTAATAATGAATATTTAGGTGATTTGGTTAATTTATGTATATTTTCTTTATTGGAAGTACTTATAAGGTTATAAAGTGATCTGGAAACCTCATAAAACTTGAATTTTTCTCAAAGAAAATCTAAATTCTCACAGTGAAAAAGTTTTCACCGAGATGCAGGTCAGGGCTTCGAGAGAGATGCGATAGTAAATTAAGATAAACCACTGGTAAACGACTGTCGTAGTGCAATTATGTCGCTCATTCGTCGTGACCGAACTGAAACTAACATTGCATTAGAGAGCAGGGAGGGCGGTTATTGTGCATCAAAAATGAAAACTATATCAGTGGGGTGTTGCAGACGCCAGCGCTCAGTTCATAGTCACCTCGCCATCGCGCTAGCACGCGGCCCAAAGAAAGTGAAAACGTTAAAATGAAAACGAAAGTGCTTCTCGTTGTTTGTTTACTACATATAACTCTTGCGAACACAAAACATGAACTAAAAGTCGTTGATAACCATGAAAAATATAAAACTTATCAACTGGATGTGCCGGGAAAGGAACCTATTACGATTTTCGAAAATAAACCGTTGAAGGAAGACCCGCAAAGTAAGTGGGATATTGTGGAGACGCAGGAAAATGATGATGAGATTAAGAATTTAATGACTCATATAATCCATGATATACACAGTGATAAACCGCGGTGTTACGGACCATCTTGTCAGGAGGGATTCGTTGAAGACGAGGGACCTCAAGAAAGTGTAGAGGATTATGTTTTGGATAATAAAGATAAGTTAAAGGATTTTAATGATTATTCTAACGAACGTATGCAAGCTATCGCAGCATTAGCTGCAAAGCTCAAGAAATTAAAGAATAAATCCGATCGCTATTCATCTGCACCTAGCCAAGACTATGAGAACGACGATAAGGTTTATACATCGTGGAATCGTCTTAAAGTTAAACAACACAAACATCCATATGACGATAAAGATGGCTGGGTTACTTTAGAACCTGTTGCTTGGTCAACTAGTAAAGTATCAAAATGGAAACCCAATGTTAAGAAACAAAAGCCTAGCTATTGGAATGACAATGAAGACACAAAATACACAAACGATGACCGGTTTCAAGAATCCGAAGAAAGTTACGTTTATCCTCAAAAACGGCCAACTATGACTCGCCCTGGCTATATCAACAATAAGCTGTACATGCCTCAAGAGTTTGAATCAGAGCTGCCTTCAAAACCGTCTTGGACAAAGAACAAACCTCAACATAACACGCAAAGTTATCACTCAAGCTGGTCTTCAGACGACAGTCGTCGACCGTATAAACCAAATTGTGATCATGAAGAAGACTATCCTAGCGAGGACTCAATATATTATGGAATGTCAGATTCAGTAGTCACTGATAACCGCCCTCCAAATTTCCCATTTGAATATGAAGCGCTCCATCAAGCGTCATCACAGAAACGGCCATTGCGTCGACCGACTCAGGTTGTTTATGCTGACACTCCAGATTATCATAGCGATCACTCCAGGCCGCCTTACGGTGACGGCCAATGGGTATTATTATCAACAACCAAAGGATACCGTAATAAAAAACGCCAAAGATCACTTAGCTCATCCGAAGAAAACGTAGATGTTCCATCGATAACTTCGCATCAATCAGTTTCATTGACCGTATTACCCGTGGATGAGAATTCAACAACTAATATGACGACCTCACATGGGGGTATGTTGGAAGTTGAAAAAACTTTTCAAACTGTAGAGGAGTCTAAACGTGATATGGATTTGAAGAATGACTTAGAATCATCAGCGAGTCAGCCGCGGCCGGTTAGAAAAGTTGTTAGGAAAAAACTTGTAGGGAACCAAAATTCTCCCGATAGTTCAACAGTTTTAGCGGCGGTTGGTGCTGGGATGGTACCGGCAACAATGGCTATGGTTGTACCCATGATGCTTGGCAGACGTAGAAGGAGAGACTTAGATTATACGCCTCAGATCTTACATATACAAGATGATATTTTACGACAGTAATAAATGTATATTTAGATTTAAATAACTTATTTATTTAATAGGTGTTCTGTGATTGTAAATAGATTTTAATATTTGGTTTTATTTAACTTATATGTAATTCGTAATACGTTTAATTTTAATAAACTTTTTATTTTTTTAATCCGAGTTATTTCTTATTTGGAACTACTGTATGAGGAAAGATTATCCGAATAAAACTATTTGTTCGTTGTCATTCATATATTCATTGAATAAGTAATTGACACATTTAATTAAAAAATCACAAAACTTGAAGAAGACAAAACAAAAATTTCATTACATTGATATAAAGAGTTTTTATGATTTTTTCCAACATAACATGAGAAAATTGTATAGTGTCTTATAAATTTTAATATTTTCAATAAATTTTATATACATATGTATATTACAATGCTTGTTATGTTTAGGTACTCCTACTTCTTTAAATTTAATACTTTGAATTATTATAAAACTTTGTTTGTATTGTCTGTCTGTAGTGGAGGTGAACTAAGAATATTAATAACTTGTTTATAAATAATCTTATTTAAGAAAAATATTTTATACATGATAATTATGAAAAATATAAATTGTTATTAGAGATGAACATTTTATAAGCATGGAATTATAATTTAAATTTTTATAATTATTTTCAATTGACATTAATTTAAAAAAAAGTATTTTTTCGTTAAAATAACAAAAATTATCGTTAAATAATAAATAAATTAAAACACCTTATCTTATTTATTATAAGATTATCTTAATTTTTATCTTATTCGTAATAATAACTTATGTATAATTTTATTTTATCTTAAGGTCATTGTAGCATTTGGGATAGTATGAGAAGGTGCAATATTTTTACATAATTTTAGAACGATCAACACACAGTAAAATGATTGTATCAATCAATCAATATTGATAAAGCACCTCTCCGGGCATACAATAAATGTTTCCAGTCCGAATAGCTTCCATTAGATATTTGACACTGAACAAGCAAACTATCAGGAGCACTGGAAAAAAAAATAAACACACGTCAATCATTACAACAATCTGATTGGATTGCAGTTAAAACAAAAATAATAGTGGGAACAAAAATTGGAAGTTTTTCATTAATATTTGGTGTGGATTGATTTTAAAACTACCATAAATTTTCTTCAATGTTCTCTCTTTTGTGTTTATATTCCATATATTTAAAGAGTAAAAATAACATATACATAAAACAATATAAGTCTCCAAAATTATTACTCAAAGTAGAATAAGTATACAGGGTGACTGGTGAATTACTATCAATATTTAAGGAGCATACTCGGTACATGATTCTCATTCGAATTATGTACAAAAAAGAGGTACTTAATTTTTGACAAAATTTCCGTATAAATAAATAAAGTGTTGACACGTTCCAAGTGTTCCAAGTGTGGACGTGTGCGGCGGCGTGCTGATACAACACCACGCCGGCGGACGCGTATGTGTGTGTGAGCGTATACCTAATCTGTAGGGTGTTCACACGATGCGTAATTAATTACATAACTTTTGGTTAACTTTACTTAGAAGTTTATTAATATTTATGTTATATTAATTTTTATTTCGTCATATATGATCGTCAAATATCACGTCCTCAAGTATCGATAGTAATTCACTTGTCACCCTGTATATAACGATTTTTATTATGAGAAATTTCAAAAACATAACTAATAAGAGCTAAAGTTTAAAAATTAGACCATTTAAACGTAAAAAAACTACTAAAGATATTTTTATACATCTTGGACCTTAATTTTACGTATACAAGACAAAAGTTTAAAGCCTTCAATAAAAAAAACAGTTTGAGAAAGCAACTAGAAATTATTAAATCTGTAGCATAAAGATTAATGATAAAATTACGGATCAAACTTTTCAATTATTTAATACATTATATTTAAAATAATATGATTTTTAACTTACCATCTGACAACACAATGAGACCAAGTTGTATCCAGCCAGCGGTGAGGCCTTCCCAAACTATTAAAGCGATAGTTAGGAATATGTGGACGAAACTATAGCAAAAGAATGTCGAAATAGCACGGTAACTAACCTGGAACAAAATAAACACAATATAAACAACGAATCTTTAAGACTTGTTTTGCTCTAATCCCAATCACTTTATAAACTTCAGTTAAAGAAAAAATATTATTCACAATCATTACATCAGTACAAATAACCATAAATTATTGTTTGATAATTAATAAAATTAGAGATATTTTATATGCAAGACGCTTTTGGATAAAAGAGAAACCTTACCTTATGGACACCACTTGTAAATACGACACCAAAAATAAACAACAATAGTCCAATGATAACATAACACAAATAATATATAAGTATTATAGTTTTCACTAATTCTTTCTTCTGTTCGCCGAATATAGTTTCTAGTTTTTGAAAATTGCCGAATCTTTCTTCATCACGTTCGATCATTCTTTCGAATATTGAAAGCACTAATTGTTGTAGGCTTAAGCCGGCTACAATCAAGCTGATAATCTGTAAGAAATATTAATAAAATGATAATTTAATAAAATGATAAATTATTAATAAAATCATAAATTATTAATAAAATGATATATAAAATATAATAAAATGATAAATTTTTTATTTATATTGTTATTTATATTAAGTCAAGAACACATTGATTACATTTGTATATTATAAATCTTTTGTTATAATTGATTTTAGGTGATAATTACTGGGTCTTTGTAGATCATATTCTTAGAAAATATTTCAGTTGTAGCGCCTTATATAAAAATAATAGCAATTCATCGTAACTACGTAACATCAAAGAAGATATTATGTAAGGGGAAAGTAGATTAAGGGCTAAAAAGGTACTTACTATTACTATGTAGCCGAACACAAGGTTACCCAACCTGAGAGGAAAACAAAATAAGAATTTCCTTGTCATTTTCCTTCATTCGTTTCTGTGGGATGAAAAATTAATGTATTAACACGAGCAAATGGTTTCCTTACATAAAGTAGCACATTGTATTTCGTAGCACAGAATTTATTTATTTTGTATTCAAGCACATTGAATCACTTCGTTTCTTACATCCTATAGAAGGCCAATATATGTAAATATTTAAGATAAACAATCCATTTTTATTATCACACATATTTGTACATAAGTTTATCTAAGCAATAATCGCAATGCTATATTACTTTACATGCAAAATGCATACGTTTTAAGTCATGTTAAGTCATAGTATAGAATACAACCGACTTGTTCTGAAGCACTGTACATTGTGTTATTTTAGGGTTTATTGGTCGGATAGATGTTCAATGTTCATGAAGTGGAAATATCCATTGAACATTATGTAAGGGTAGCTTTACACTATATCTCCATTTATCCTACTAATATCTTGAATGTTATGTTGAAATAACTAAATATATTGACGTGTTTGATACTTCATAATTACCTATAAAAATACAATAGAATGATTTATGAAATTTTATAGTTATTTAGTTTAAATAAGTTACCAGTATGCTTACTATAAGTTGACATCATCACACGATATACGGAGCGTTAAACGTTATTGAACGAGACACGGGAAACGCTTCATATGTAGTGCGATAATGCCAACTTATACTAAAAATACTGGACACAAATATAAATTAAATTCAATGGAAAGTTTATCCAAAAACTATGAAAATCACAGCTCAATGTGTCGACAATTGTTTAAAACATGTATGAGAATCTATTATACAATTTTCCTTGGTAGATTAACTCGAAGACCTTGCGTAACGAAGCCGTCACCCATCAATAGACAGCTGTTCCATTGCATTTATATAGTAATAGTTTTTGCCCGCGACTTCGTACGTGTTAATATTCAATTTTTGGTTTAGAGAAAAATGCGTAGTGTGTTGAACAATATAGAACTCATGAATTGGAAGCAACATTTGTAGTCTGCGTCACTTGATTTTAGCTAAACCAAATATCGGTATAAATTATAGCCTGTCTTATTTTGACCATTAAACTAAATCCCTGTAAGGTTTCATTAAAATCCATTAGTAAGTTTTTCCGTAAAGGAGCAACAAACATTCATACATAAATTTATCCTCATAAACTTTAGCATTTACAATATAAGTGATATATAAAGTGACCTGGATAAAATTTTTCATATTACTTCCCTGTCCTTGTAAGCATATTGAATGAATAAAATTTATAATCAGTGTTTATAAAATGATGAATGGCTTCTTTAAAGTAACAGTCATTACGTACCTAACTGTACGGATGCATAAAATCTGAATCATTCGCTCTGTAAGAGCCTGGAGGTCAATGAATGATGGTTCATCGTTACGGGTCGCTGAGCAGTTTCATAAAGGTGAAAAGGGTCCCCTTAATACCTCACCAGGGTCAGTTAGGGAATATAAAAGGAGGAATGAATAAGTGGGCTAATTTATAATATATTACTTTTTTACGCAACAAATATGAGAATATTTTGTGGGTATAGGATAATATAAAGCGGTTTTGGAAAGTATATTGGGAACCGGTTTGACTTCGACCATGAATGAATATTCCGCCTCGACCTTGACAAAGAGTGACTTTATGATCCGATATCAGTACATGTTATTATATTACTGCTTTCATGGATGGACGTAATGAATAAATATAATATTCCGTTGCTTTTGGCACTGATTCACTAATATTCCAAGATGTAATCAGTGAAACATTAAATAGTTTATGATTTCTGTTATATTATTTATAATATAAACGAAACTATTAATCATTTCTGTGTATTATAGTTTGGGTATTAATAGTAATGTTATGAAGTAATTAGTTTCATAGTTGTTATGCAAGGTGCGGTTCTAACACCCGCATAGCATTAATTAGCATATTAAATTAATGTGCATTATACTATTGGGTTTATTATGGATATATAATAAGAGAGTTTTTTAATTCTAGTATTTTTCGTAGTTGAAATAACATTTTATGACGTCATTTGGAACAAAAGTGAAAAGGAAAATAGAACCTTGAAGACATAAATATTATCGTCGTTTCTTTAAAAATAATCTTATTGAATTTTAATTTCGTACGTAAATAAACGTGGTTACAATTTGTATACGTATATTTTTTAAGTTCTTAGTTTATGTTGCATTACGAATAATATGTACATGTTATGAATTTAATATTGTACGTAACAATTGCATGATGTAATGAAAGAAATTACTACACTAATAAATTCAGTGACGTTCTTTGTATTGTATTTTTAACAATAACGGTCCTATTGTTTATTTATATAGATTTTTTTAAGAAGGAGAATAATATAAATGGACGTATGAAGAATTAACGAAACAAATCAACAAGAATGTATGCTACATGCAGAAATCAGTAAAGTGTAGGTACATATTTGCTAACCTAATATTTTTTAATTAAAATATTCTCGTGTATGTTTGTATACCAAAATGTTTTATTCTAAACGCTATTATGCATATTATTTCAGAAATCTTTTGAATTATATATATATTTAATACTTTTCTGCGAAGTACATTCCGTTGTAGTTTAATAGTGGGGGCGAAAGACGGTAATATTATTATTTTACAATATTATTTCGTGTAAATATAATTTATTCAACAGCTGCCAGTATAAGGTGTATAATGAATGCACCTGACATCGGTTGAGTACTTGTAATGTAATTTTGTAAATTGAATACTACTTGTTTCTCTACCGGTAATATTAAATGTTCTCGTTATAAATTCTGACCTTAATGACGTTATATATTAATGAAATGCATAAAAATAATTAATTTATCTATGTTATATAAACGGAAAATATCATAAAAACTATTTTATTACGTAATATTTTTTTGTTATAAAATAAAATTTTATGTTTCAGTTAGTCACGGTTCACAAAAAATGTATATACATATCTTTGTTAGCATTACTGTGAATCATTACAAAAAAAAGGTTTTCGTAAACAGAATGATGTTGAGATGCTTAAGGCATTGGAGATAAGAAATACATACATGATAGTTGCAGCATCCCATAAACAGATACTTGTTCGTCTAGCAACCGTATGGAATCCAATATCACTATTTTTGTATTACCTACTTTCTTTCTACCAAAGTCCTACGTTCTATTATCCTAATATGGACTCACTATAAAAAAGAATACTAAGTATATTTAAAAACACTATACATTGGTTAGTTTTGGGTCTATGTATATATAACTTTAAAATATATAACTTTTACGTTGCATCACGACATACGTAATGTTTAACAGCAAAGGTAGGTACAAATTATTTTAGTCAATTATAAAGGGTAAAGTTCCCTTTAAGGGCTAATAATAGTTGGCCATGTTTACTTGTGAAGCCGGTCACCTCGCCCCTGTTAATTTTTTATGAACAGTATTTAAAAATGGTTAGTATTTTTAACAATTTTAACTCGTACTGCAAATTATTGAGATATCAAATGCGATTAATAGAATGTCAATGATTTTTCAGTATTCCATTAATCGTATAAAGTTCCATTAGATCAACTAAAACGTTACTTGTTTACAATTGTTTGATTAAAATGAATAATTTTATATATAACTTACGTCACCCAAAAATTGAATCCATAAGAACTATTTCACACTTCACTGAGAAATCTACATACGAAAATCAATAATAAATCGTATCACAATTTTACCACATTCATAATCTATATATATTATTAAATGTTATTCGTAATCGTCTGCGCAGGCGCACGGTAGACGCGTTTCGTCGTTATGAACCAAACTCAAAGGCAGTTGCTTATGTGACGCCTAGCAAGTAGCAACCTATTGACTTTACTTGAATAAAACGCCGGCCAAGGACGTACGCGGCCAAAGACATTTGTTTTAAATTCGGGATCTCATTCTCAACACGTATTTTATAGAAATTATCGACGCCGTGGGAACAAAAATTCGGCTATGAAATTGTAATTGACTTTCTTCACATTATTGATGTTATAATAGTCATATTGAAATAGTAATTTATCTCTTAAAGATTGAGAAAATTTAGGTTCTTTTATGTAAGGTTTTAGAGGAAAGAATTATTAATAGTATTATAATAGAATATTTAATATGATGTTATATTTGAAATTTGTATAATTATTACATAACAGAGAGAAATAAAATATCTTTGTAATTTCACATGTATTAAAGAAATGTTTTTTAAGGATGTCGTTTAAGAATAATTTATGATGTCATAGTAATACATATTTGTTTGGATAAAAGAGCTTGCGTTAGTCGTTTTAATTTACATACATAATAGAAAAAAATACAGTTTTTTTGAAGAATCAGAAGAAGTTTTTCAATTAAAAATAATTGCTTTTGATTATTACATACAATAGGAAGAACTATCATTGATCTAGACAATTGTCTCATGACACACTAGTCAGTAATAGTTTCCTCCTGCTAACTATATTAATAACACTATTTATTTAAGACGTAACAGTGGTGACTCAATTTGTTTGCACTGTTCTACTTCCGAGTGACGTCTCAGTTTAAATATACATTTGAAATAAATTATTCTTATCACTATATAGTAAAAAATATATCAATCTTGTTTTATTACAGAACAGTAGCGAATACTACCAGCTTAGTTTATAACTTAAAATAGCTTATATATATCTGAAATCATAAAAAATTATAACCCTGTTTTTAATATCCTTATGAAATGTGAATTGTAAAACTATAAAAGATTTACTGCTTAAAAGCAATAGTGAATATGGCGAGACATATCTTATTAAGATGAAGCAGGTTTTATTTTACAGAGTTAGAAATTCTCAGACAGTCTATTTAACGTGTCCTCCATTTTCATTATAGATAATGGTACTAAGCTCTATAATCTACGTTGCCTTCGCCTCATGGACGCTATAAAGATCGCTTGATGACGTCATAACGCCATACTGATTATACCACGCAGAATGAAGTATAGGCGACGGA